CGAAACGTCAGGAGAGAATGCCTCTAGAACATGGCCATATAGCCCGAAAAAAACCTACAACAACCCAATCATTATAATAATAATATTTCATACACATAATAAAAGTGAAAATATGTATGTGTGTGTGTGTGGCTGGAGTGTCCACTTACCCAGACAAGCTTCTGCCTCCACAAAAAGCTATAGCTCCCACTGCTCAGGAGACACCAATGGCCCTCCTAGCAATAACATTTCAGGTTATAGCCCTGCCAATCTCCTCCACAAACACCATCCTGCCCACCACCCAAGGGAAAGTTTTCATATGGGGTCAATTTCACCCTAAATTTTATAGGCTTCCTCCACCACAGGCATCCCAGGGTTCCTTTCTCTCTCCATTGGTGTGCAATTTGCATGACCCCCCTTCCCCCACCTGCTCCCTCTCGCTTAACCCTTTCCTATTCTATTTTGTGAAGTGTACGATCTGCCCAATGGCATAAAATTAAAGCAATACCCAATTAAGCATCTTGCAAAATAATAAGGAGTTTATTACTGGCTTTGGTGACGTTTCTTCGGACCGCTTTGGGTCCCCCCAGGAGTGAGAAAGGCAGTATATAAATACTGTACATAAATAAATAATAATTTGCGCCAAATTCTGGGGAAAGGGGACGGAAAGCCTTCGCAGGGCGTTTGAAAACACAGGGATTTGAAAGGCGGCGGTTTCCATTGGTGATTAGGATTTAAAGAGTCAACTTTAGGGAGGAACGGATCGGTGCAACCGGGGAAAAGGACTCAAAACAAGTCCGAGTAAAAGGGTCACCCTTTTCCTCCCCAAAACGATACTGGAGTGTGCCCGATTCAAGTTGTTGGATTTCCCTTTCACCCCCCAAACGATACTAGAGTGTGCCCGATTCAAGTTGTTGGATTTCCTTGAGGAGACAGAACAGTCTTTTCTTTCCTCCCCAAAGCAAACATTTTAAGGAATGTGTCGCTCCTTGACAAACCTGGCTTTGGGGGTCCAACCTGGTCGCCGAGGCCTGTCTTCTAAGGTCGGCCTCAAAACAAGTCCTCTTCTTTTTCTCCCTGCGAAGGTCAGGAAACTGAACAGACGGCGCTGGTTTTCTGGTTCTTTAAGGCCTGCTTCTTCTGGAGCTCCCTTGTGATGCGCCTCTTGATGCCGATCAGGTAGAGTTCGCGGTCAAACAGCCCCGCGGCCAACGGGATGCTGCAAAAGGCAGGAGAGCAATAAGGTGGCCATAGAAACTCTATGTTCACAGGAAGCAAGATAAACCTATGAAAGACTGAACAGTTCCAACAGTGGAACTCAGTGCCTCGGAGTCTGGTCTCTGGAGGCTCTTAAACAGAGGCTGGATGGCCATCTGTTGGGAGTGCTTTAATGGTTCTTTCCCTGCATAATCTTCTGAACAGGGGTACAGACGGCAAAGGAAACACTGCAGGGGTGGTAACCCTTCCCTATACTATCCAAAGCTTATATATATATACTAGCCGTCCCCTGCCACGCGTTGCTGTGGCCCATTCTGGTAGTCATGGGCTTTCTGTGTGGGAGGTTTGGCGCAATTCCATCGTTGGTGGGGTTCAGAATGCTCTGTGATTGTAGGTGAACTATAAATCCCGGCAACTACAACTCCCCAAATGTCGAGATACACATACACACACACACACCCATAACCCTTCACTATGCCATCCGAAGCTTATTATATATATGTATATATATATATGCATATATAAATGTGTGTATATATGTGTATATATACACATGCACACACATCCATAACCCTTCTTATGCTATCCAAAGCTTATATGTGTGTGTGTGTGTGTATACACACACACACATCCATAACCCTTCCCTATGCTATCCAAAGCTTAGATATATAATACACACACACATATATGTATTACTATTGGCTCTATATGATGTGCTTTCCTTTGATCCCACAGTTGCAACTTGAAATGCATCTTGAAAATGCCACTCTGAATATATTACTATCTTCTATACACATAATAAAAGTATAAATATGTATGTGCGTATGTGGCTGGGGTGTCCACTTACACAGATAATCTCCCGCCTCCACAAACAGCTATAGCTCCCACTCCTCAGGAGACACCAATGGCCCTCCTTCTAATGACATTGCAGGCTATAGTGAGCACTGTAAACATGTCCAAGAGCCCTGCCAATCAATGTCCTCCACACACAACAACCTGCCCACCATCCAAGTGAAAGCTTTCATACAGGGATAATTTCACCCTAGATGTTCTGTTTCTCCTCCAACATAGACATCCCAGTGTTCCTTACTCTCTCCATTGGTGTGGAATGTGCATGCCCCCCTCTTTAAGTATCACACTGCCCCCCTGTGAGGCCTGTGTTCCACACTGGAAACCAGGGGCATAGATACTGCCACCCCTTAAACGGGAATACTAACTTGTCTCTTCCGGGCCTGATTCTGACCCGAAACAGCCCATAGACAGGACGGTGGTCGGAGGTCTTGATGCCAAGGCAGGAGGAGTACTTCACGGCATGGATGTCGTCCTTGTGGCGGCTTCGGTGGATGACGCGGTCCTGGAGATGCAGAAGGAGATGTGTGATTGAAGGCTCTCGTGGCCGGAATCACTGGGTTGCTGTGAGTTTTCTGAGCCATGTTCCATACAGGTTGCTCTCCGGTCTACACAGCAGCCACCAAATGCAGCAGCATTGCCCAATCACAAATCAAGGAACATATATTGACTAATTCAACCAGAGAAGTCAGCCATCGCAGAGCACTTGATGAAGCAGCCTGGACACAGCATATTATTTGAGGACACAGGAATGCTGGACCACTCTCACAACCACCATGTCAGCCTACACAGAGGAGCCACTGAAATCCACAAGAAGAATGTGGACACCATCAACAGAAAGGAGGAAACCATGAAAATGAAAACAATATGGCTCCCGGTATTAAAAAAACTGTAAAATGAGGACAGTAAACAAAGACTAACACTCAAAAAACAGGGGAAATTCAGACAAGAATTAGTCATGGCCAGGTAGCACCTCCCAACAAAAGATTCTCCCAGGCAACTATCAGCCAAGCTTTGAAGCTGCAAGGCCATTTAGTGCTAATCAAGGTGGCCAATGGCAACATTCACACCTGCCTGTCACTTAATTATGGTCAATGACCAGCTCCTCACCGTATATGAGGGCGTCCTCTGCTTGGAGGTCGAGTCGTAGGAATCCATCCCGACGTCAAACTTGTACGAAGGGCGGAAACGGATGGGCGCCTCTTGGAAGCCCTTGAAGATGGAACCTTGGAAGAAGAAAGGCATCATCAGTCAGTATTTTCCCCGGCCCCCAACCCCCCAAATGTCCTTTTGGCTTATTTCTATGGCAGGTTTTGAACTGAGTAAAATATGTTAAAAGGTAAAGATTGTCTTGTGACATTAAGTATTATATGTATTATTATACTTTTTTATTATATTTTATTATATGTATTTTGATTATATTATTAGTAAAGGTATAGGTTGTCCCTGACATTAAGTCCAGTCGTGTCCAACTCTGGGGGTTGGTGCTCACCTCCATTTCTAAGCCGAAGAGCTGGCGTTGTCCATAGACACCTCCAAAGTCATGTGGCCAGCATGACTGCATGGAGCGCCCTTACCTTCCCACCGGAGCGGTACCTATTGATCTAGTCAGATTTGCATGCTTTCGAACTGCTAGGTTGGCAGAAGCTGGGGCTGACAGCGGAAGCTCACGCCACTCCCTGGATTTGAACCTGCGACCTTTCAGTCAACAAGTTTAGCAGCTCAGTGGTTTAACCCACTGCACCACCAGGGGCTCCTATAGTCCTTTAGATATATGTAAATGCTAAATGTGTGGATAGGGCTGGCCATTTGACCAGAGATAGAAATGGGAGAAGCGTCAAGGAGAAAGAAGATGGGGTCAGCAGGGCATGAAGGGCACTGGCGATAGCGGTGACTCAAAAACAGTGTTTCTCAACCTAGGGGTCGGGGACCCTGGGAGGGGTCCCCAAAGACCATCAGAAAACACAGTATTTTCCATTGGTCATGGAGATTCTGGGTGGGAAGTTTATCCCAATTCTCTCATTGGTGGAGTTCAGAATGTTCTTCAATTGTAGGTGAACTATAAATCCCAGCAACTACAACTCAAGATCTATTTTCCCCAAACTCCATCAGTGTTCACAATTGGGGATATTGAGGATCCGCGCCAAGTTTGGTCCAGATCCTAAGTCCAAAGTGCTCTAGGTGAACTACAACTCCCAAACTCAAGGTCAATGCCCACCAAACTCTTCCAGTATTTTCTGTTGGTTGTTGGAGTTGGTTGTTGGTTCGAATCCATCATTGGTGGAGTTCAGAATGCTCTTTGATTGTAGGCGAACTATAAATCCCAGCAACTACAACTCCCAAATGACAAAATCAACCCCCTCCAAACCCCACCAGGATACAAATTTGGGCGTATCGGATATTTCTGCCAAGTTTGGTCCAGTAATGAAAATACATCCTGCATATCAGATATTTACATTATGATTCAAAACAGTAGAAAAAATACAGTTATGAAGTAGCAACGAAAATAACGTTATGGTTGGGGGTCACCACAACACGAGGACCTGTATTAAGGGGTTGCGGTATTAGGAAGGTTGAGAAACACTGCTTTAAAGTTGAGGACAGGTTGGGGGATTGCAAATATCTCCAGCGTGTGGAAAAAAATACCATTCTAATGCACATGTGTTCACAGTACAACCCACTGAAGGGTTAAGAGAGTGGAGATGTAATCCTAGAGGGACAACCGAGTCATTTCCTGGCAAGAGAGATGGGAGTGACTTAAATGTGCCCTTCCTCTTTACCACGTGCTTGCTTGCTGCCATGTCTGAGACCTTGCCACAATCCCTCTGCATCTGTTATCCATCACCATCTTCGTTGTGTGAGTGTCTTGCTAGGATTATGACTATCTCTGTATACTGATAGCAGAACAACAACTCGTGTAAATTGTTGTATGTAGCAATGACTGAAGAATAAACCTCCAAAGTGTACTTATTACAATGGTGAGCTACTATACAAGGTCAAAGGCTATGCTATAAAATCTCTGCTCAATGTAATAAAGACTCTGCAGTGTTTTGGATTCGAACTAACTGCTTGGCTTTGAGGCAGTCGGTCCCATTGTTCATCTGGAGGGGGACGTGAGAAGAGGAATTCACATGCCTACCTAGCAGGGGTGTTGTGTGTGTTTACTCTTCTAACCCAGCGACGTAACATACTCGAGATGCCTGTCCTTACCCTTGTCCATTTCCTTCCGGAGCTGGTCGTGCTCCAGCAGCTTGGACAGGTCTGCTTTGGAGCCCTGGCTGAGGATCTGCTCCACGGCCTCCCGGTTCTCGTTCAGGCGGAAGTTGAAGTCCCCGAACCAGAAGACGTTGTCGAAGCGGGTTGTGACGTCCCCTGTGAAGCCAAACAGACGTCGCAATTGAGAACTTCTATAATTGACCTCTGTTAGAAAACAACCATTGACACTCACCCGAACTGGAGCGATATGGGTTGGTGTCGGGAAGGTTTTTGGGCAGAGCGAGCGCCTGGATGGTCTTGTTGTAATCCAGTACCCTCTCATAAACTTTGCCATCTCCAGCTGGAAGGGAAGAGAGGCTTCCTTAACTTAAATGACTTCCTTAACTTAAAAGAGTCATGGTCTCTGGTAATGTAAACATGTTGTTTTCCACCAATGTAAACATGTTGTTTTCCACCAATGCACCGTATATACTCAAGTATAAGCCGACCCGAATATAAGCCAAGGCACCTAATTTTACCACCAAAAAACTGGGAAAATGTATTGACTCGAGTATAAGCCGAGGGTGGGAAATGCAGCAGCTACTGGTAAATTTCAAAAGAAAAATAGATACCAATAAAATTACATTAATTGAGGCATTAGTAGGATAAATGTTTTCGAATATTTACATAAAACTGTAGTTTAAGATAAGACTGTCCAACTCCGATTAAACCATTATTTTAACCTTCTTTAATGTAAATGTGCTTACATATCCTTCCAATAATAATAAAGAGAGCAAAATAATAAATGTGATAAAAATAATTGAGTAATATAATAATAAGAATAAAATAATAAATGTAATCAAAACAGTAATATATAGAGTAAATAATAAATGTAATAAAATAATAATAGAGTAAAATAATGTAATTGTAATAATAGAGTAAGATAATAAATGTAATAAAATAATACTAATAACAGTAAAATAATAAATCACCTTGACTAGAGTATAAGCCAAAGGGAGCTTTTTCAGCCTAAAAAAGTGACTGATAAACTAGGCTTATACTCAAGTATATACAGTAAATATGTTGTTTTCAGAAGTTCTCTGGTAATGTAAACATGTTGTTTCCCACCAATGTAAACATGTTGTTTTCAGCAGTTCTCTGGTAATGTAAACATGTTGTTTTCCACCAATGTAAACATACTGTTTTCAGCAGTTCTCACCAGCAACTTTTCTAATCACAGTCCATGAATTCTTCAGCTTATTTTGCAGTTTCCCAGGCCTCAATATTCTTAGAATGATATCTTCAGCTTCTATATAGGCCCCCAACTCATCATATTTTTCACACAGGGCAATGTTTTGCCCTTTCTGGATCTTTTAGGGGTAAATACAAGGAAGACAAGGAAGATTACCAAGATCTTGCCGTACACAGGCAGGGAAGTACTCACACGTAAAATGAGATGTGATGAAAAGGAAGGATGTGCCGAAGAAAGTGAAGCAAATGCCGAGGGCCCCTTTGGTTTTGATTTGGGACACGATGCGAGTCGTCACTGTGGCAAATTCCACCTCTGGGAGGAGAGAGAAGGAAAAAGAAGAGCTGTGAAAGAGAAGCTCAGAACTGGATCTTACTTTCTGTGGGGATTAGGTCTTTTGTAAGGATACATATGAGAAAAATAGTTGCTTCTCTCATGTCCCCGCATGACAGTTGGTAACAAGGCCTACCTGAGCAGAACCAGATGAGGTCTCTCCTTAGGAAGACAGACAGGTAAAGCACGCCGTGGGCCGCTGCGTAGAACAGGACGTAATGGGGGCCCAGCGTCTCCTGCAAGCGGATCTCCCACTCGCGCCTGGCAACACAAAGGGGAATGTCACCCTCCTCTGGCCCTTTCACAGCATCCTAAGTCAGAAGAGACCCCCAAGGGCCATCTAGTCCAACTCGCTTCTTTCCGCCATTATGTAGGAAAAGCACAATTAAAGCACCCCCAACAGATGGCCATCCAGCCTCTGTCGAAAAGCCTCCATGGAAGGAGCTTCCACCACACTCCAAGCCAGTAAGTTCCATAGGTCAGGAAATTCAAGAGGAATCTCCTTTATTATTATTAATAATAATAGTAATAAATAATCTCCTTGGAAGCGTCCCCTTCCGTCATACCTGTCCGGACAGCCTTCCTGGATCCCGATGACATACATGTCCTGGGCGTAGTCGGGCTCCGAGGGCAAAAGGAAGTCATCCAGCACCTCGGGCAGCTCCTGAGAGGAGAGGAAAGCTTTGTCCAATTGCAAGGCAACACCCAGACCCTTTGTTTGGCTATGCCCACACCCCAAGCCTCTCTAAAATCCTGCACCCGGTGACAAATACAGTTTCCAAGTTACGTACAAGATCAAGATAAGTTCTGTATGTTTGTTCTTATGTCGAATCTGTACATAAGTCAGAAAAGGTACATTCTTTAAGCCATAATAAAAGTAAAAATATGAATGTGTATATGTGGCAGGGCTGTCCACTCACACAGGCAATTCAGATTGCATCCCTGTGGGATTCAGAATCTTTTCCCCAGGTCTGGCATTGCGCAGCTCTTCTAGCTGCAAACTCAGCAGCTTCATTCCAGACTCCCGACCCAAACTCACAAGGCCTGGATAATAGATAAGACACAGAACGGCGCTTCCCTCACCTTCTGGCCCTGCATGTTCCACGTGGCCACAAAGATACCAATGCGCCGGTCAGGGAAATACCGGTTCAGCTCTTCTGCTCCCAAAAGGGCCCCGCTGGCAAGAAGGCTGCCTTCCAAATAACTCCTGCGAAACAAAGAGGAGAAGCAATTCCTTTTCTGCCCGGCCCTTCCACAACAAAGACCATCCCTCATGTATCCTACAGACATGGCTGTTGTTTAGTAATGCCCAGACCATTGGCCATTCACATACAAACAAGTAGTGGGTAAAAGGTTTTCCTCTGACGTTAAGTCCAGTCGTGTTTCAAACTGCTAGGTATCATCTGTTCTGATCTGGCCACAGTGGTCCACGCTCTTGTTACATTCCGAATAGATTACTGCAACGTGCTCTACGTGGGGTTGCCTTTGAAGACTGTTCGGAAACTTCAACTAGTCCAGCGGGTGGCAGCTAGACTTCTCGCTGGCGCATCATACAGAGAGCATACCACCCCTCTGTTATGTCAGCTCCACTGGCTGCCGATTCAGTTCCAAGCACAATTCAAAGTGCTGGTCTTGACCTATAAAACCCTATACAGCACCGGCCCAGCGTACCTGTCCGAACGTATCTCCTTCTACGTCCCGCCTAGGAATTTAATATCTTCTGGAGGGACCCTGCTCTCGGCCCCGCCCTTGTCACAGATGAGACTGGCGGGGATGAGGGACAGGGCCTTCTCGGTGGTGGCCCCCCGCCTGTGGAATTCACTCCCCGAGGAAATTAGATCATCGTCATCCCTCCTCTCTTTCAGAAGGAAACTAAAAACATGGATATGGGACCAGGCCTTTGGGTAATCTGGGAGACTGACAATGGACAATGACGACTAAAGCTTTGGAAACGGACTATGATAAGCGGAATGAATTTATTAATTACGGACTTGGCAAAATGATAGCCACCAGGCTGGCTTTTTATTGTATTTTTATTGTATTAATGTAATGTTTTGTTATAATTATTGTTACTATGTATTTTATTGTGTGAATTATAGGCATCAACGTATGCCGGTTGGAAGTCACCCTGAGTCCCCCTTAGGGGGTTGAGAAGAGCGGGGTAAAAGTACCCAAAATAAATAAATAAATATATAGGTTGGCAGAAGCTGGGGCTAACAGCGGGAGCTCACCCCACTCCCTGGATTTTAACCTGCAACCTTTTGATCAGCAAGTTCAGCTCAGCGGTTTAACCCACTGTGACATTGGGGGCTTCATACAAACAAATACAAATGCAAATATTAAAATTTAGATGAGGCAACGTGCGTCGAGATAAGAGCATCCCGCCATAGCAATCGAATGCAATATCAGCCTGAGTGTTTACTGCTGTGCTAGGGCAAATAAGGGAAACCTGCCAAGTTTCCACTGAATCACACACAGAACATCTTCTCTGACTTGGGATGTATATTAGACAGAATGGACTCATATAGCCATAAGGCCTGTGGTCTAGGTCTTCCAGCCTAATACCATTTGAATATCCCAACCAAAACCACCCAAAAGGTCAACACGAGACTCCCAAAAATATCTAAATCCTGATCTCAACTCAAGACCTCTAATCTTTGGTCCTCTGATGTTTGGGAAGACTCTCAAACTAGTTCTGGACCATTGCCACCTGGGCTGTAATGTTTGGGAACTTCTGGCCTGTATCTGAACCAAAACCATTCCCACAGGTCAATGTGAGCCTCCAAGAATCTCGAAATGCTGGTCTTAACTCAGGATTCCTTATCTTTGGTCCTCTAATGTTTGGGAAGACTCTCGAACTAGGCCTTCTGGACCAACACCACCTGGGCTCTACTGTCTGTGTTGAGACCAGCATTTTGAGATTCTTGAGTGTCTCATATTGACGTTTAGGTTCAGATACAGACCAGCAATTCCCAGACATCAGAGACCAGTTTGGGAAAACTCTCTAACTAGACCTTCTGGACCAGCACCACCTGGGCTCTAGTGTCTGGAAATTGCTGGCCTATATTCGAACCAAAACTATCCCCACTGGTCAACATGAAACTCCAAGAATTTCAAAATGCTGGTCTCCACTCATACTGTCACAGGTCCTCTAATGTTCGAGAACACTCTCTAACTAAGCCTTCTGGACCAACGCCACTTGGGCTCTAATGTCTGTGAACTCCTGATCTGTATCCAAAGCCAACTTCTCTACCAAAGCTCAATATGAGGTCCCAAGAATCTCGAAATGCTGGTCTCCACACATATATTCACAGGCCTCTAATGTTTGGGAAGTCTCTCGAACTAGGCCTTCTGGACCAATGCCACCTAGGAACTGCTGGCCTGTATCCGAACCGAAGCCAACCCAAAGTTTGACCTGATGTCGGGCTCCCTACCTGTTCCGCACATCCCTGACGCGGATGGGGGTCAGCAGGCTGAAGGAGGATTTCATGGAGCCGGCGGAGGAGGAGGAGGCACCGTAGTCGTCGCACACCATCCCTCCTCGGCTGTGGAGCTGGCTGTCGCTCCAGCTGCTGCTCGCTCTCGGAAACGAGACCCCGGAGCAAAGCCGGTGGTAATCCCCACAATCCGGGTCGATCCTATTAGTTGTCCTCAGCGCAGAGAAGGAGCCCTCAAGCTCCAATGGAGGAGGTGGCTGAGTGGTGGGAAACCGTCCCTGCGAGTCCTCAAGGGAACCGTTTAAGGAGCCCATCTTGGGGGGATCCCGCAAACTGTCCTGGCTCATCCTGAACAGCCGGCGCCGGCGCCAGATGAGTTCGTCGAGGGATGAGGTCCGCTCGAGCCTCGGTTTCTGGACGAAGGAGTTCAAATCAGTGCAGGTTTGGGGCTCTTCGGGGAGGAAATTCAACTGACGGTTGATAAAGGAATGCTTGGAGAGGAGGTCAGGCCTGTCCCCTGCCTCTTTCCCTGCACTGCAGACCCTCGAGGGCATATTTTGTGGGGCTTGGCCCTCGGCGCTGCAGTTGGGCTCCATGGTTCTGGGTGAGCATCCATCGGGTTTGCCGGCTACAAGGGAGTCCGCAGCACCGCTCTGGAAATAGCCTGAGGCATGTTGACAATTGGGAAGTCTCAAAAACTCCAGAGGGAACGCAAACACACGTTGCAGGTCACCACTTCCCAAAGTACAATAAATCAGCACCAGTCTTTTTACTGTATCTTAACTGTATTTTGTATGCATGACCCAAATGCTTGATTGTTTTTTATTTCACTTTTGCATTTGCCATGTTTTTAAATTGATCGGGATGTGTCAGTTAATTGGAAGCCGCACTTGAGTCCCTATGGAGAGAAAGGCAGGAGTGGAAATAGATATGATGACGACAACAACAACAACAACAACAATAATAATTACATTATTGTAAGCTGCCTTGCGTCTCTATGGGGAGAAAAGCGAGGTAGAATAATACAGTATATTCTGGCGTATAAGACTACTTTTTAACCCAAGAAAATCTTCTCAAAAGTCAGGGGTCGTCTTATACACAGGTGTAGTCTTATGCATGGGAGTCGTCTTAACTCTATATTTTAACTGGAAAAGTTGGGGGTCGTCTTATACGCCCAGTCGTCTTATATGCCGGAATATACGGGTAATAATAATAATAATGGTTTAGCCCACTGCGCCACCGGGTGCACCAACATACACACACACACACACACACACACATGTATCAATCATATTATATATATATATATATATATATATGTATAAAACATTAAAATATATTAAGCTAAAACCATTATTCAAATGAATGATATATATATACACACACATATTATGTAATATATATCAATCATATTCTATATAATATTCTATATATTATTCTATATAAAATATTAAATTATATTAAGCTAAGACCATTATTCAAATGAATGAGTGATATATATATATATAACATATATCAATCATATTATATATAATATTTATACATATATACACAAACACACACCACACACACACCACACATCAGTGTATGTGTGGGGTGTGTGTGTGTGTGGTGGGTACAGCTAATATAAATAAAAATGTAATGTTCGTTGTGGGATTAACACAACTCAGAAACCACTGGACGAATTGACACAAAATTTGGACACAATACACCTATCAGGCCAATGAGTGACCGTCACTCATAAAAACACTGAAAAACACAGCGGAAGGGACTTAAAAAGCCAAAAAAGCAAAAAAAATACATTACAATGCATGCACATAACCATATATACACATATACAGAAATATATACACACACATATACGTATATATACACACACAAAACACATATCCACAGACTGGGCCACAGCAACGTGTGGCAGGGGATGGCTAGTTCTATATAAAATATTAAAATATATTAAGCTAAGACCATTATTCAAATGAACTATATATATATATATATACACACACACACATTATATAATATATATCAATCATATTCTATATAATATTCTATAAATTATTGTATATAAAATATTAAAATATATTAAGCTAAGACCATTATTCAAATGAATTACATATATATACACACATTTTATAATAAATATCAATGATATTCTATATAATATTCTATATATTATTCTATATAAAATATTATAATATATTAAGCTAACACCATGAGTCAAATGAAATATATATATATATATATATATATAATATCAATGATATTCTATATAATATTCTATATAAAATATTAAAATATGTTAAGCTAAGACCATGATTCAAATGAATTATATATATATATATATATATATATATATATATATATAAACAAACACACACATTATATAATATATATCAATGATATTCTATATAATATTCTAAATAAAATATTAAAATGTGTTGAGCTAAGACCATGATTCAAATGAATGAGATATATATATAGAGAGAGAGTATATAAATAATATTATACTATATATATATATATATATATTATTCTATATAAAATATTATAATATATTAAGCTAACAAGCTGAGATATATATAATATATATATATAATAATATTATATATAATATTATATATATATATATTATTCTATATAAAATATTATAATATATTAGCTAAGATATATTATATTTAAGCTAAGACCATGATTCAAATGAATTATATATATATATATATATATAATATTATATATAATATTATTATATTTATTATAAAATATATAATATATTAAAATAACCATATATAAAATATATATTTATATATATTTTAAATATATTTTATATATGGTGTATGTATGTATATATATATATATATATATTATTCTATATAAAATATTATAATATATTGAGCTAAGACCATTATTCAAATATATTATATATATATAAACAATATTATATATAATATTATATATATATGTATTTTCTCCAGCAAAGGATCACCGCCTTGTCGGGGCGCTGGAGCTTGAGCACCTCAATGATGTCATGAGCGAAACCGTGAAGGGCCACCCAAGACGGGACGGTTGTGGCAGAGAGGTCAGACCAAGCGTGATCCCTGGGGAAGGCAATGGCAAACCACTCCAGTATCCTTGCCAAGAAAACTAAATGGACCAGTACAACCAGAGATATGTCGGTATGCCATTGGAAGATGGGACTCCAAGGTCGGAAGATGGCCAAAATGCTACTGGGGAGGAGCAGAGGATAAGTTCAACTAGCCCCAGATGTGATGACGCAGCTAGCTCAAAGCCGAAAGGAAGGCTAGCGGCCGACGGTACTGGAGGTGAACGATGAATCCGATGCTCTAAAGATCAACACACCATAGGAACCTGGAATGTAAGATCTATGAGCCAGGGCAAATTGGATGTTGTTATTGGTGAGATGTCAAGACTAAAGATAGACATTCTGGGGGTCAGCGAACTGAAATGGACTGGAATGGGCCACCTCACATCAGATGACCACCAGATCTACTACTGCGGACAAGAGGAACATCGAAGAAATGGGTCACTTCACATCAGATGACCACCAGATCTACTACTGCGGACAAGAGGAACATCGAAGAAATGGATTAGCCTTCATAATTAATAAGAAATTCGCTAAAGCGGTGCTTGGATACAACCCAAAAAATGACAGAATGATCTCAATTCGAGTGCAAGGAAAGCCTTTCAACATTACAGTGATCCAAATATACGCCCCAACCACAGCTGCTGAAGAAGCAGAGGTAGATCAGTTCTATGAGGATCTGCAGGACCTACTGGATAATACACCAAAAAGAGACATTATTTTCATTACAGGAGACTGGAATGCCAAGGTGGGAAGTCAAATGACAACAGGGATCACAGGCAAGCATGGTCTGGGAGAACAAAATGAAGCGGGACGCAGGCTGATAGAATTTTGCCAGGAAAACTCGCTGTGTATAACGAATACTCTCTTCCAACAACCTAAAAGACGGCTTTATACATGGACTTCACCAGACGGTCAACACCGAAATCAGATTGACTACATCCTTTGCAGCCAAAGGTGGCGGACATCCATCCAGTCGGTGAAAACAAGACCTGGGGCTGACTGTAGCTCAGATCACGAACTTCTTATTGGCCAATTTAGAATAAAACTAAAGAGATCAGGGAAAATACACAGACCAGTTAGATATGATCTCACTAACATTCCTAGCGAATATACAGTGGAAGTGAAGAACAGATTTGAAGGACTAGATTTAGTAAACAGAGTCCCAGAAGAACTATGGACAGAAGTCCGAGACATTGTTCAGGAGGCGGACAACAAAGTACGTCCCAAAGAAAAAGAAAACCAAGAAGGCAAAATGGTTGTCTGCTGAGACACTGGAAGTAGCCCAAGAAAGGAGGAAAGCAAAAGGAAACAGGGATAAGGGGAGATATGCCCAGTTAAATGCGCAATTCCAGAGGTTAGCCAGAAGAGATAAGGAACTATTTTTAAATAAGCAATGCATGGAAGTGGAAGAAGACAACAGAAAAGGAAGGACAAGAGACCTCTTCCAGAAAATTAGAAACATTGGAGGTAAATTTCAGGCAAAAATTGGTATGATAAGAAACAAAGATGGCAGGGACCTAACAGAAGCTGAAGAGATCAAGAGAAGGTGGCGAGACTATACAGAAGATCTGTATAGGAAGGATAATAATATCGAGGATAGTTTGACGGTGTGGTGAATGAATTAGAACCAGACATCCTGAGGAGTGAGGTTGAATGGGCCTTAAGAAGCATTGCTAACAACAAGGCAGCAGGAGACGGTGGGATCCCAGCTGAACTGTTTAAAATCTTAAAAGATGATGCTGTCAAGGTGATGCATGCCATATGCCAGCAAATATGGAAAACACAAGAATGGCCATCAGACTGGAAAAAATCAACTTAAATCCCCATACCAAAAAAGGGAAATGCGAAAGACTGCTCAAACTTCCGTACAGTGGCCCTTATTTCTCATGCCAGTAAGGTAATGCTCAAGATCCTGCAAGGAAGACTCCAGCAATACATGGAGCGAGAGTTGCCAGATGTTCAAGCTGGGTTTAGAAAAGGCAGAGGAACGAGAGACCAGATTGCCAATATCCGGATGCTGGAGAATGGAGAAAGGCAGGGAGTTTCAGAAAAACATCTACTTCTGCTTCATTGACTATTCTAAAGCCTTTGACTGTGTGGATCATAATAAATTGTGGCAAGTTCTTAGTGGGATGGGCATCCCAAGCCACCTTGTCTCTCTCCTGAGGAATCTGTACAAGGACCAAGTAGCAACAGTCAGAACTGACCACAGAACAACAGACTGGTTCAAGATTGGGAAAGGCGTACGGCAAGGCTGCATCCTCTCACCCAACCTTTTTATCTTGTATGAAGAACACATCATGCGAGGATGTGCGGGGCTGGATGAATGCAAAGCTGGGGTGAAAATTGCTGGAAGAAACATTAACAACCTCAGATATGCAGATGACACCACTCTGATGGCCGAAAGTGAGGAGGAGCTGAGGAGCCTTCTAATCAAGGTGAAAGAAGAAAGCGCAAAAGCCGGGTTGCAGCTAAACATCAAAAAAACCAAGATTATGGCAACAAGAATGATTGACAACTGGGAAATAGAGGGAGAAAATGTGGAGGCCGTGACAGACTTTGTATTTCTAGGTGCAAAGATTACTGCAGATGCAGACTGTGGCCAGGAAATCAGAAGACGCTTACTTCTTGGGAGGAGAGCAATGTCCAATCTCGATAAAATAGTGAAGAGTAGAGACATCAGACTGGCAACAAAGATCCATTGCCTAGTCAAAGCCATGGTATTCCCTGTAGTAACCTACGGATGTGAGAGCTGGACCTTAGGGAAGGCTGAGCGAAGGAAGAGAGATGCTTTTGAGCTGTGTGTTGGAGGAAAGTGCTGAGAGTGCCTTGGACTGCGAGAAGATCCAACCAGTCCATCCTCCAGGAAATAAAGCCCGACTGCTCATTGGAGGGAAAAATACTAGAGACAAAGTTGAAGTACTTTGGCCACATCATGAGGAGACAGGAAAGCCTAGAGAAGACAATTATGCTGGGGAAAGTGGAAGGCAAAAGGAAGAGGGGCCGACCAAGGGCAAGATGGATGGATGGCATCCTTGAAGTGACTGGACTGACCTTGAGGGAGCTGGGGGGGGTAACGGCCGACAGGGAGCTCTGGCGTGGGCTGGTCCATGAGGTCACGAAGAGTCGGAGACGAACGAATGAACAACAACATGTATTTTTCTATATAAAATATTTAATATATTAAGCTAAGACCATGATTCAAATGAAATATATCTATATCTATATAGTATATAAATAATATTATATATAATATGTATATGTATATGTATATGTGTGTGTGTGTGTGTATGTGTATATATATATATATATATATATATATATATATATATATATATATATATATAAAATTCTATATAAAATATAATATATTGAGCTAAGACCATTATTCAAACGATTCAGTTCAAATACAATGTAAAAGCAGGTGGAACGCGGCCTACCTCGCAAGTATGTTGTTCTTGGGGCCGTCGTCAAGGCGACAAAGACATTGTAAACGGCGTGGCGAAGGAAGCGCGACTAGGCCAAAGCCGGGGCCTTGCGTGGCCCCTCACGCCGACTCCCCATTCACCTCCCCGTGCTTGCCTGCGGGAAGAGTCCGGTGCTTCCCACCTAGGACTAGGCCTCACGCGGGCTCCTGGGAGGGAAATGGCGGGAGAAGTGGCCTCCTCCCCAAAGCCCCTTTAAAGTATGTATTTCTCGAGGAAAGTTTGGATTTTGGGGGGCGGGAGGGGCAAATGACCTCACAAGCCCCCAATGTGAGGGAAACAGGAAAAGAGAGTCAAGAGACTTAGCGGAACACCGCTCTAGTCCTCCGGCGCGACTCTATGGTCGAAGGTGACCATAGAGTCACGGCAGGGCTATTGCATTCCTAGAACGTATATACACCTTGAGGGAGCTGGGGGTGGTAACGGCCGACAGGGAGCTCTGGCGTAGGCTGGTTCATGAGGTCACGAAGAGTCGGAGACGACTGAACGAATGAACAACAACATATACACATACTGTTTGAAAAGATAGGAATATTATTTTGTAGGTACACACTGCCCTCTTGTGGTGCCTCTGAGGGCTGCATCCATATATATATCTATGGGAAAATATTGTTTATGTCCACACTGCTCTCTCTCACCATCCTGTCCTTCCATCCTTCTTTCTTTCCCTCCCTTTTGTCTTTCCTTCCTGCTTCCCTTCCCTTCTTCTCCTTCCATTCTTTCGGCCTTCCCTCTCCCTTTCTCCTTCCTTCCATCCTTCCTTCTTTCTTTCCATCTATCCTTTCCTTCCTCCTTCCCTCCATCTGGATCCTTCCCTTTTCCTTCCACCCTTTTGTCCTTACTTCCCTCTCCTTTTCTCCTTCCATCCTTCCCTCCCTTTTCTTTCCTTCCTCCTTCCTTCCTTTCTCTTCCTTTCCTTCCTTTTCTTCCTTGCTTCTTTCCTTTTCTTCCTTCTTCCTTTTTTTCCTCCTTCCTTCTCCTTCCTCCTTTTGTCTTTCCTTCTTTCCATCTTTCCTCCCTCCTTCTCTTTCCATCCTTCTCTTCCTCCCTTTCTTTCTTCTTCCCTTCTCTCTTTCCTTCCTCCTTCCCTTCCTCTTTTGTCGTTTCTTCCTTCTTCCCTTCCCTTTTTTTCTTTCCATCCTTTCGGCCTTCCCTCTCTGTTCTCCTTCCTTTTGTTTTTCCATCCATCCTTCCCTTCCACCCTTTCGTTATTACCTCCCTTTCTCCCAATCCTCCTTCCTTCTATCCATCCAACCCTCCCTTTTCTTTCCTTCCTTCCTCCTTTCCTTTTGTCTTTCCTTCCTCCATCCTTCCCTTCCACCCTTTCATCCTTCCTTCCCTCTCCTTATCCTTCCCTTCCTTCCACTCCACTTGTTTGTCCTTCCTTCCCTCTCCATTTCTCCTTCCCCTTCCTCCCTTTTGTCTTTCCTTCTTCTTCCCTCTTCTCTTCCTCCCTTTTTTCCTTCTCTCTTCTCTTCCTCCTTCCCTTCCTCTTTTTCTTTCTTTCTTCCCTTCCCTCTTTCTCCTTCCATCCTTCCCTTCCACCCTTTTGGCCTTCCCTCTCCCTTTCTCCTCCCTTTTGTTTTTCCTTTCTCCTTCCTTCTGTCTCCTTCCAGCCTTCCCTTCCACCTTTTTCTTTTCTTCCCTCTTCTTTTCTCCTTCCCTTCCTCCTTCTTTTTTTTCCTTTCCTATCCTTCCCTTCCACCCTTCCTTCCCTCTCCCTTTCTCTTTCCTTTATCCTTCCCTTCCTTCCATTCCACTCGTTTGTCCTTCCTCCCCTCTCCCTTTCTCCTTCCTCTTTTGTTTTTCCTTCCTCCTTCCCCGTCTCCTTCCATCCTTCCCTTCCACCCTTTTGTTATTACCTCCCTCTCTCCCATTCTCCTTCCTTCCGTCCAATCCTCTTGTCTTTCCTTCCTTCTTTTCCTCCTTCCATCTTTCCCTTTCATCCTTCCTTCCCTCTCCCTTACTTTCCTTTATCATTCTCTTCCTTCCCTCACCCTTTCTCCTTCCTCCCCTTTTCTATTTCCTTCCTTCCATCTTTCCTCCCTCCTTCTCTTTTTCTTCTTCCTTCTCTCTTCCTCCTCTTTCCCTTCCTTCCTTCCATCACTGGGCAGCCAGTCCTAGCAGGGAGTGCTAGCATTTGGCCCTCAAGCCTGACCTATACACTATGGGCCAATACTTACCTTTTCCTATGCATACACTGCCCTCTTGAGGTGTCCCTGAGTGCTGCATCCATATATCTCTCTGGGCCAATACTCTTTTCTATGGATACACTGCCCTCTTGTGGCTGCCTCTGGAGCAGCCTAGAACCCAATAATCGCAAGCCTAGCACAATGTGGAAAGTGCTCCAGAGCTCAAAATATTTTATTTTTCAAGAATGAACAGTGTCGATTGCAGAAAGAGAGACGAAGAATCACTGCTATTGGTGGGATTTTGGTTGTTGTTGTCGAACCCGTCCCTTGGTCGTCCAGTTTTTTAAGGCGTTCCAGATCACAGAGACATATGGAATGGACCCAACATGAAGAAATCCCCATTAATAAATCCAGATTGCTGTATTATTATTCATACCTAAAGCTATGCTGGTGGTGACGGACTGAAGGCCCTTAATCTGAATATTTCCTTTCCTTATCCAAATATTTCATTTTCTTATAGAAATATTTCTTTTTATCTAAATATTTCGTTTCCTTTTCCGACCCAAATATTACCTTTAATTTTCTTACATTTCCTTTCCTCTTCTTCACTGAATATATCCATATCTGAATATTTCCTTTTCTTGAGTATTTCCATTTCTTAATATTTCCTTATTTGAATATTTTGTTTTCTTCCCTGAATATTTCCTTTCCTTTCCTTAACTCAATATTTCCTTTCCTTCTCAGAATATTTCCTTTCTTTCTCCAAATATTTTCCTCTTTGTATCCGGATATTTCCTTTTCTTATCCAACTATTTCATTTCCTTCTCAGAATATTTCCTTTCCTTTTCTCAAAATTTCCTTTTCTTATCTGAATATTTTTCTTCTCCAAATACTTCCTTCTCTTCTCCAAATATTACCTTTCCTTTTCTTATCTCAATATTTCCTTTCCTTCTCCAAATATTTTATTTTCTTATCTGATTTCCTTTCCTTTTCTTAACTCAATTATTTCCTTTCCTTCTCCAAATATTTCCTTTCCTTCTCCAAATATTTTCCTCTTTGTATCCGAATATTTCCTTATCTGATTATTTCCTTTCCTTTTCTAAACTCAGTATTTCCTTTCCATTTCTCAAAATTTCCTTTTCTTATCTGAATATTTTTCTTCTCTAAATACTTCCTTCCCTTCTCCAAATATTTCATTTCCTTATCTGATTATTTCCTTTCCTTTTCTCAATATTTCCTTTTCTTATCCAAATATTTTGTTTCCTTATCTTATTTCCTTTCCTTTCCTTAACTCAATATTTCCTTTCCTTCTCCAAGTATTTCCTTTCCTTTTCAGAACATTTCCTTTTCTTATCCAAATATTTCCTTTCCCTCTCCAAATATTTCATTTTCTTTTCTTAAGTCAATATTTCATTTTCTTATCTGAATATTTTGTTTTATCTGATTATTTCTTTTCCATTTCTTAACTCAGTATTTCCTTTCTTTCTCTGATTATTTCCTCTTCTTATCTGAATATTTCCTTTTCTCATCTGAATATTTCCTTTTCTTATCCCACTATTTCATTTCCTTATCCGATTATTTCCTTTCCTTTTCTGAACTCAATCATTTCCTTTTCTTATCCGACTATTTCATTTCCTTATCTGATTATTTCCTTTCCTTTTCTGAACTCAATCATTTCCTTTTCTTATCCCACTATTTCATTTCCTTATCCGATTATTTCCTTTCCTTTTCTGAACTCAATCATTTCCTTTTCTTATCCGACTATTTCATTTCCTTATCTGATTATTTCCTTTCCTTTTCTGAACTCAATCATTTCCTTTTCTTATCCCACTATTTCATTTCCTTATCCGATTATTTCCTTTCCTTTTCTGAACTCAATCATTTCCTTTTCTTATCCGACTATTTCATTTCCTTATCTGATTATTTCCTTTCCTTTTCTGAACTCAATCATTTCCTTTTCTTATCCCACTATTTCATTTCCTTATCCGATTATTTCCTTTCCTTTTCTGAACTCAATCATTTCCTTTTCTTATCCGACTATTTCATTTCCTTATCTGATTATTTCCTTTCCTTTTCTGAACTCAATCATTTCCTTTTCTTATCCGACTATTTCATTTCTTTATCCGATTATTTCTTTTCCTTAACTCAATATTTCCTTTTCTTATCTGAACATTTCCTGTTCTTATCCGAATGCTTCCTTTCCTTCTCCAAATATGTTCTTCTCTGAATATTTCCTTCTCTTATCCAAGTATTTCGTTTCCTTATTCGATTATTTCCTTTCCTTTTCTGAACTCAATCATTTCCTTTTCTTATACAACTATTTCAATTCCTTATCTGATTATTTTCTTTCCTTAACTCAATATTTCCTTTTCTTATCTGAACATTTCCCGTTCTTATCCGAATACTTCCTTTTCTTCTCCAAATATTTCCTTCTCTGAATATTTCCTTTTCTTATTCAAGTTTTGCCTTTTATCTGAATATCTCCTTTTCTTGTCTATTTCGTCTCCTTATCCGATTATTTCCTTCCCTTTTCTTAACTCAATCATTTCCTTTACTCATCTGAGTATTTCCTTTCCTTTTCTTAGGGTTATCCGGGCTTCGAGACCTCCGTAAAAAAGACTTCCTTTTTGGGGTGAAAACATAAGTTTATTTTCTGCTGGTCGCCGGCGAATCCGAACGTCAGTGGGATTTAAGGGGAAAGAAGACAGACCTCGACCATTTGGACGAAGAAGAAGAGCGGAAAGAGATCACAAATCAAGAATTGGACAGAGTTTCAGAGAAGATATTGCACTTCCGAGGAGAGGACAGCACCGCCGACTATACAAAGGGCTCCTGTTTTCCAAACTATACAATTTCTTCGCTTTACAAGGAGTCTAAACACGAACGTAACTAAAAACGGGGGAAGAAATCCACGTCCTAAGATGACAAATCACAGTTTTGTTTCACTTTCCCTCCCGGCGATTCCCATGTCATTTTCTGTTTCTATTTATTTGGATGAGCTACGTTTTGAGGAGGAAAACAATGCGAGACGAGGAAGAGGAGGAAGAGGAGGAGGAGGAATCCCAGCCAATAAGGGGACATTTCCGAGGTCGGCGACCCATGGTTTTTCGGGCGCGTTAAAAGCGTCGGGCCCCCGGAAAAAAATCCCTGTAAGGCCACAAAACTGGGAGGCGAAAAGGTGACAAACATCCCCCTAAAATATTGGGAAAGAAACCAATATTTTGTCTTTTGAAAAAAAAACGCTGAAAAGAGAAGAAAGGGAACCGCCCCTTTCCCGTTTTCCGAGAAAAAAAAACGAGAAACTCTCCGGTCGTTTTCTTCTTTACAGAATGGGTTACCATGACATAACCACTCCGTTCCCAAAGGTGAGAGGCCCAGTGCACCATGGGATCCGGAGTACGTCTTTGTAAAAATCCGTGTATCAAAGTGCTATTTCAAAGTGGGGTATTTCCTCTGTCCGATTCGGCCGAGTCGCGAGCCTCCGGAAACCGCAGCAGGCTGGAAAGACAAGACGGGAATGTACATTTAGGATCTCAATATATTTATTTTATTTACTTACGACATTTATCTGCCACCCTTCTCACCCTGAAGGGGACTCGGAGCGGCTTACAAGATATATATGCTGTAGCGAAATTGCTACTCTATGTTAAATTTCTGGTGTATAGCTCTATGTTTACATATGACAGATAGGGAAGAATAGGCACAGACAGGGTAGCAACAGCAGAGATAGGATTCATTTGCATATGGAAGCCAATTGGTCATATGCAGATTAGCGTAGGCCCAGGATTTGAAAAGGTTGCTAGGCCAAAATGACAGTTGGGAAGAGCAGAGTTAAACATTCCAAAGGGGTGGAGCCAAAGTTTAAAAATAGGCAGTTAGAGAGTCAAAGGAGTTAGTGAGGAATTGCTGTTTGTGAGGGAGTTAGGGATTCCTGTTTGTGAGAGACAGTTAGGAACTCCTGTGAGAGAAAAGAGTTAGGAACTCCTGTTAGAAATAAGCAGTTATGAAGATGTGTTAAAGACTTCTGATATATAGAAGCAGTTAGTTAAATAGAGCACAAGTTTTAGGAACATAAAGAAAGTCAGTGGTGCTTTAGTCAGAATATAATTTCAGTCAAGAGTGTGTAAAGCAAGTAACATGTTTGTGAATGTGAAACATTGAAAGTCTATTTCAGAAAAGTAAACCAAGTATATTATACTGACTGTAAGCCTCAAGATTGCAACAAAACACAAATGTAACCACAAGCGTTGGAGCCAGAAGTTATAAATAAACTGTGTTACTTGGTTATACAGAAGAGTGTCTCATTGTCTGTACAAAGGTTAAACAACACACAGAAAGTCCCAGCCAAGATAAAAAGAAGAAACTGAATCAGTATAAGAGCAAAGAGGTTTTTCTTAAATTAAGAAATAGTCTCCCTCCCTTGCTACATATGCCTATAATATATTATATTATTAGCATAGTACAATTTCAATATTATATATTACTATGTTGTACTCTACCATTATATTGTAATATTACATGTAATATAAAATATATAATTATATCATATTATTATTATTATTATTATTATTATTATTAGTATATTGTAATATTATAAATGTTATAATATTACATCACACCACATTACATTATATTATAAGCATAGCAAAGGAGACAAGGTGGACAAGTCTCCTTGAGTCCCCACATCCCCAAGATGTTTAACATTTACATGAAATCGCTGGGAGAGATCATCCGGAGTGTTAGAGTTTGGTGTCTGATTTATGCGGACGACGCCCAACTCTATTACTCCTTTCCACCAATTGCCATGGATGCTGTCCTGCCCCTAAACCTGTGCCTGTCTACTACTACTACTACTACTACTACTAATAATAATAATAATAAAGGATTTGACTCACTGCCACATAGTTGGATCATCAAATGTCTAGATGTCATCGGGGTTTGTGAAAATATTAGAAAGTTTTGTTGTGTTTCAAATAATAATAATAATAATAATAATAATAATAATAATAATATGTCTATCTCGCTTGTTCTCTCTTAAAAAGCAATCCAACACATAGTTTAAAAGACGCATTTTAAAAAACGTGAATAATAATAATACGAACAATAAAACAACCATTAAAACAGAATAAAATACTGACACTGTTATATGATTATATATTTGTGTCCAATGCTTGCGACTGCTTCCTTTTTTTGTGGAAACCCAATGGGTAAAATGGGAAGGTAGACAATCTCATTACCTGTGCAAACTGGGAAGGGTTGTAAAATTGGACGGCACCCGCTGGGGGTCCTCCGGAAGAAGGGGCCTGAAACAAAGGAGAGAACCATTAAGAGAAATACGAGGGAAGCAAAAGGATTCTGGGCCCATAATCTGTTGGGTATTATGTGTGTGTGTATGTCTCCCTGTGTGTGTCTACACACGCACACACACACACACGAGAATAAATGAATAGAACACTGCTTTACTGAGTTTAGAAAAGTGGTCAACTGACACCCCTCCTCCCCAAAAGGAGGTTGAATTAGTCTCAAGTTTGTCTGTTGGGTTTTCCAAGTAGACTGGAACGTACTTAGTCCTAACCTTCTTTTTTTTAATGCTGGTTTTAAACCACTTCACTGGATGTGTTGCAATAGCAGGTCCCCAGATTACTTTAGTGTTTACACCTTATTTTATTGATTTACTAGCTTGGGGACCCGGCGCTGCCCGGGTTATTAGAGAAAGTGGGTAATGGCCATTCTGTATGCCAAGTTTGGTGTTAAACAGGATGTAAAGAAGGCCGGTATAGAAAACTTCCAAATAAATAAATAAAATAAATAGATAGGGTCACGGGGGCTCTGTGTGCCAAGTTTGGTATTGATCAGTCATTGGTTCAGGGTCACAGTGGTTTCAGTAAGTGAGTAAAGATACTGCAAGTCCCATAATCCATGGCCCATCCCCCTTAGAACTGCATCAGGATGTAGAGTGGGCCATGAGTACTCTGTGTGCCAAGTTTGGGCCTGGTCTGTGATTTGTAGGGGCTACAATGTTCTGTGGGAAGTGAATCGGGTGAAAGTACTGCAAATCCCATCATTAGTGGCCCATCCTGCCCTGAACCGCACTGGAAGTCCCATCATCCATCGTCCCTCCTTCTCCAAACAGCATCGGGATGTAGAGTGGGTCAAGGGTGCTCTGTGTGCCAAGTTTGGTCTTGATCGGACATTAGATTAGGGTTGCAGAAGTCTTGGGAAGGGAGTGGAGGTACTTGAAGTCCCATCATCCATGGTTTGTCCTCCTCGAAAGTGCACCAGGATGTAGAGTGGGTTATGGGGACTCTGTGTGCCATATTTGGTCTTGATCAGTCATTGGCGAGGGTCTCAGTGGTCTCAGGAAGTGAGTGAAGTGACTGCAAGTCCCATCATCCATTGTCAAATTCTTCCAAACCGCACCAGGATGTAGAGTGGGTCATGCGGGCTCTCTGTGTAAATTGTGGTCCTGATCCATCATTGTTAGCAGTTGTAATGGTCTTAGGAAGGGAGTGCAGGTATTGCAAGTCCCATCGTCCATGGTGCACCCTCCTCCAAACTGCACCAGGATGTAGAGTGTGTTATGGAGACTCAGTGTGCCAAGTTTGGTCTATCGGTAATTGGATGAGGGTTGCAGTGGTCTCAAGAATTGAGCAAAGGTACTGCAAGTCCCATAATCCATGGTCCATCCCTGGCCAAACCGCACCAGGACATAAGATGGGTCATGAGAGGTCTATGTGCCAAGTTTGGTCCTGATCAGTCATTGGATGAGGTTAACAGCGGTCTCAGAATGTGAGTGATGGCACTGCAAGTCCCATCATCCATGGTTCATCCTCCTCCAAACTGCAGTAGGATGTCGAGTGGGTCTTGCAGGCTCTGTGTGCCAAGTTTGGTCTGTATTGGTAATTTTCTGACAGCCCCTGGCCTTTTCCTTTCCTCTCTTTGTCATCTCGGAATCTTGGAATTGAGGCTGGCCAATCAGAGACCATATGCAAATTTCCTTCTCATGTCCCCGTTTCTGCCATGAACTCTTTTCTCCACCAGGGGCTCCTATTGAAGCTGGCCAATCAGAGACCATATGCAAATAGCACCACTGCGGCAGCCAATCCTAATGTTGGAACTTTCAGGCTGGCCAATCAAAACGCTGGCACATACTCCTCCCGTCGCAGCGCCACACTTTTGTCCGCCACATACAAACTTTCACCTTTATTATATGTATAGATTTTGGTCATTTAATATTTAATGTTTCTTTTACTGGATTTCTGTTTTATTATTATTATTATTATTATTATTATTATTATTATTACTAGTATTACGTGTGATAAGGGTCTGGATTTCTGCCACATTATTATTATTATTAGTAGTAGTAATACATATTGTAAGGGTCTCAATTTCTGCCACATTATTATTATTATTATTATTACACCTTGGGCAAGGGTCTGGCTTTCTGCCATATTATTATTATTATTATTATTATTATTATTATTATTATACCTTGGGCAAGGGTCTGGGCTTCTGCCATATTATTATTATTATTATTATTATTATTATTATTATACCTTGGGCAAGGGTCTGGCTTTCTGCCATATTATTATTATTATTATTATTATTATTATTATTATACCTTGGGCAAGGGTCTGGGCTTCTGCCATATTATTATTATTATTATCATTATTATTATACCTTGGGCAAGGGTCTGGCTTTCTGCCATATTATTATTATTATTATTATTATTATTACACCTTGGGCAAGGGTCTGCCATATTATTATTATTATTATTATTATTATTATTATTATACCTTGGGCAAGGGTCTGGGCTTCTGCCATATTATTATTATTATTATTATTATTATTACACCTTGGGCAAGGGTCTGGGCTTCTGCCATATTATTATTATTATTATTATTATTATTATTATTATACCTTGGGCAAGGGTCTGGGCTTCTGCCATATTATTATTATTATTATTATTATTATTATTATTATACCTTGGGCAAGGGTCTGGGCTTCTGCCATATTATTATTATTATTATTATTATTATTATTATTATACCTTGGGCAAGGGTCTGGCTTTCTGCCATATTATTATTATTATTATTATTATTATTATTATTATTATTATACCTTGGGCAAGGGTCTGGCTTTCTGCCATATTATTATTATTATTATTATTATTATTATTATTATACCTTGGGCAAGGGTCTGGGCTTCTGCCATATTATTATTATTATTATTATTATTATTATTATACCTTGGGCAAGGGTCTGGCTTTCTGCCATATTATTATTATTATTATTATTATTATACCTTGGGCAAGGGTCTGGCTTTCTGCCATATTATTATTATTATTATTATTATTATTATTATTATACCTTGGGCAAGGGTCTGGCTTTCTGCCATATTATTATTATTATTATTATTATTATTATTATTATTATTATACCTTGGGCAAGGGTCTGGCTTTCTGCCATATTATTATTATTATTATTATTATTATTATTATTATTATTATTATTATACCTTGGGCAAGGGTCTGGGCTTCTGCCATATTATTATTATTATTATTATTATTATTATTATTATACCTTGGGTCTGGCTTTCTGCCATATTATTATTATTATTATTATTATTATTATTATACCTTGGGCAAGGGTCTGGCTTTCTGCCATATTATTATTATTATTATTATTATTATTATTATTATTATACCTTGGGCAAGGGTCTGCCATATTATTATTATTATTATTATTATTATTATTATTATTATCATTATTATTATACCTTGGGCAAGGGTCTGGCTTTCTGCCATATTATTATTATTATTATTATTACACCTTGGGCAAGGGTCTGGGCTTCTGCCATATTATTATTATTATTATTATTATTATTATTATTATTATTACTACTACTACTACTACTACATTTTGGGCAAGGGTTAGGGTTTCTGCCTTTTATTTTATTATATTATTACACCTTGGGCAAGGGTCTGGGCCTCTGCCATATTATATTATTATTATTATTACTGCACCTTGGGCAAGGGTCTGGCTTTCTGCCATATTATTATTATTATTATTATTATTATTATTATTATTATTATTATTATACCTTGGGCAAGGGTCTGGGCTTCTGCCATATATTATTATTATTATTATTATTATACCTTGGGCAAGGGTCTGGCTTTCTGCCATATTATTATTATTATTATTATTATTATTATTATTATTATACCTTGGGCAAGGGTCTGGCTTTCTGCCATATTATTATTATTATTATTATTATTATTATTATTAAACTTCGGGCAAGGGTCTGGCTTTCTGCCATATTATTATTATCATTAATATTTTTCGATGGAACCCTGCCTGTGTCCCTGATTTGCTTAATCAAAACAGATACATTTGGGATCATTTAACACTCTTTTGAAGACATTTCCCAATTCCTTGTACAATGTTGAGTCCTGTCATATTAAGCCTATAGGCGCACAATTTCCAAGGAGAGGCTGCTTGATGGACGGATTCCTTGCAAACCTTGTCATTGTGGTATTTTGCCTTATAATAATAATAATAATATAATAATAATAATAATAATAATAATAATAATAATAATAATAATTCTATTTATAACCCACCCTGTCTCCCCAAAGGGACTCAAGGCGGCAACCATTAATTGCCGAAATAAACAAACAAACAAACAAACAACAACAACACCTGCCATTTCGGACTCTGCTTGTGCCCTGGCTATGTCCAAATCTTCCTCCATAAATCCTACTTCTTTGCAAACTCACCGAAAGCTCTGCGGTTGTTTCCGGGCCCGGTTCAGGTTCCGGAGTTCCCTGTTCTTCGGCCACTTGGCCTTCCAGAGGCTGAGGCTCCTCCGCAACTGTGTGAATGGAAAATGAAACGAGCCCAAAAGCATTAAACGAGTTGGCGATACAAGAGGTGCAGCCCTTAGCACTTGCCCCATATTTCATCACACAATAGACATCGTAATTGTTGTGCTTCCCCTTTTGATATTTTTGTGCTCCTCACAAAATGGTCACAGAGGCAATTTGGAACTGATTCCCCTCTGCATTCCTCTCTTCTTTCATAAAAACTATAAAATGGAGGTTTCTGAACAAGCTCCACTCTTCTCTCCTCCTTCTTTCCTCCGAGGCCTTAAGGCAGTTGACAAAACCTGAAACAAAGGTCTTTGGAACCTGGATCTTCCCTCTTCCGTCCTTTCACCAAAGAGTTCCATTCCAGGTTTTGGAAAGTGCCTTAAGGCCACAGGAGGAAGGAGGGAGGAGAGAAGAGTGGAGCTTGTAATAAAATTTATTTATTTATTTACGTCATTTATATGCTGCCCTTCTCACCCCGAAAGGGACTCAAGAGTGGCTTACAAGATATATATACATACAACATATCATATTATTAGCATAGTACAAGATCAGTATTAAATATTACTATATTGTGCTATACCATTATACTGTAATATTATTAATAATATTACATGTAATATAAAAATATATATAATTATAATATCATATTATTAGTATTATATTGAATTACATTATATTATAAATATTATATGTATATACAATATATTATATTATTAGCATAGTATAATATCAGTACTAAATGTTACTATATTGTGCTATACCATTATATTGTAATAGTATTAGTAATATTACATGTAATATAAATATATACAAATATATAATTATAATATTATAATTATGATATAATAATATTACATGTAATATAAATATATAATTATATATTTTATTACATATTATTATTAGTATTATATTATATTATATCATTAGTTCCTGGAACCTGGACCTTCTCTCATCTTTCCTTCCTCCAAAAGTTCCATTCCAGTTTTTGGAAAGTGCCTTAATTATATATAAATATATAATTATATCATATTATTAGTATTATATTGCATTACATTATAATATTATAAATATATTTATATATAATATATTATATTATTAGCATAGTACAATATCAGTATTAAATATTACTATATAGTACTATACCATTATATTGCAATATTATTAGTAATATTACATGCAATATAAATATATAATTATAATATCATATTATTAGTAGTATTATATTGCATTACATTATAATATTATAAATATTATATGTATATACAATATATTATATTATTAGCTTAGTACAATATCAGTATTAAATATTACTATATTGTGCTATACCATTATATTGTAATATTATTAGTATGAGGAAGGAGAGAAGGGTGGAGCTTGTAATAACATTCCACTAATAATACCATTTTTCATTGCATAATAGTTACTGCTGTGTAATAGTTGCACCCCCATTTTTTGGGCAGCAAAATTGGTATTTTTGTGTTCCTCACATATTAGTCACAGAGCCATTTGGGGTTGATTCCCCCTCCTTTCCTCCTTTCTTTCTCCCAAGGCAAGGCAATATAAAAAATATGAAATGGAGGTCTCTGGAGCTCCACTCTTCTCTCCTTTTTCCTTCCACCAAGCCCTTAAGGAAGTTTAAAAATACCTGAAATGGCTGTCTGTTGGGAGGGCTTTGACTGTGCCTCCCTGCCCAGTTGAAGGGGGTTGGACTAGATGCCCTTTGGGGGTCTCTTCTAGTGGAAACCGGCACAAGGGATCCCCTCTGACTCACCTGCATTTGGGACAAACAGGTTGGCAGGGATGGGCATCGGAGCCAATGGTGCAAAGAGATCGGAGGGGGCCGGGGCCGCTCCCGGAGATTTCGTTCGGCTCGGGTTCAGGACGTCAACGTAGCGGGCTTTGCTTCCGGCTGAATAGAGGCAAGTGGGAAAAGGGTTAGGAACGGACTGGAGGGGTCTGTAGTGGAGCTGAAATGCTAATATTACAATTATATACTAATATTACAACTACTACTAATAATAAATAAAGTCAATAATAATAAAATAATAAAAACGGATTTGACTCACTGCCACATTGTTGAATCATCAAATGTCTAGATGTCATCGGGGTTTGTGAAAATATCAGAGCTAACAAAACTGGTCCAATATGAATCAAAGGTCCACCTCACAAACAACAAAAGTACCTGCTCTCCTGGAGAACATATTGACCGAGGCATTGGGAGGGCCGACCGGCCCCATCGGAGCGGCCTGCGTGACTTGTGGGAACCCCGTTGGAGGCGGAGGAGGCGGCTTGCTCTGGAAGGAAAGAAAGATCCCATTCAGCCAATTCGAGATCCTTTTAAGGGCCAAGCTTGGTCTACTTCCCACCTATTTCAGATTTGAATACCGGTGGGTTTTGGGGGGAATTGGCCTGGACATTTTGGAGTTGTAAGTACTGAGATGTATAGTTCACCTGCAATCAAAGAGCCCTCTGAACTCCACCAAAGATGGAATTAGACCAAACTTGGCATACAGAGCCCCCATGACCAGCAAAAAATCTTGGAGGTCTTTGGGGAAAATTCACCTTGATTTGGAGGAGTTGTAGTTCACCTCCATCCAGAGAGAACTGTGAACCTAAACACCAGATGGATCTGGACCAAAACTGCAACTCATATCTGATATGCCCAAATTTGATTACTGGAGGTGTTTGGGGAAAACTGACCTTACTTTCTGGGAGTTGTAGTTCACCCACAACCAGAGAAACTGGAACCTCCACAGATGATGGACTTGGACCAAACTCGGTGCACAGAACCCCCATGACTAGCTCAAACTACTGGAGGGACTTGAGGGGACCATAATGGGAGTCATAGTTTACCCTACAGCCAGAGAGCACACTGAACCCCACCGATGATGCATCTAGAGCAAACTTGCCCAACATAACAAACTTTTAAGTACTGACGGAGTTTCTCGGGGTTAACTTGGCATGATGTGAGTTGTAGTTCACCCACAAACTTATGCATTTTGAACAATTAAATAACTGACTTTTTCAAATGACCCAGGCAACTTGTAAATAATAATAATAATAATAATAATAATAATAATAGTTGTTATTATTATTTACTAGTTTGGGTAAAATAACTAGTAAATAATAATAATAATAATAATAGTTGTTGTTATTATTATTTACTAGTTTGGGTAAAATAACTAGTAAATATTATTAATAATAAAAATAATAATTGTTGTTATTATTATTTACTAGTTTGGGTAAAATAACTAGTAAATAATAATAATAATAATAATAGTTGTTATTATTATTTACTAGTTTGGGTAAAATAACCAGTAAATATTATTATTATTATTAATAATAATAGTTGTTATTATTATTTACTAGTTTGGGTAAAATAACTAGTAAATATTAAAATTAATATTAATAATAATAATAATAGTTGTTATTATTATTTACTAGTTTGGGTAAAATAACTAGTAAATAATAATAATAATAATAATAATAATAGTTGTTATTATTATTTACTAGTTTGGGTAAAATAACTAGCAAATAATAATAATAATAATAATAATAATAATAATAATAATAATTAGCCACACACTCAGATACAAACTGCAAATGGAAAGCAATGCCAGCTGAAGCCTGCCCCTTACCTCTTCTTCTGGTTCATCCAGGTTGACCCATCGCTGCTTCTTCTCATCCCAGACAATCTAAACGTAGGTAAAATGGGACATCAAAAAGTAAACAACACGATTCAAGCTGTTACTGAAGAATCTGGCGGGCCGAAAGAGGGCGAGGCAAAGCCATTCCCTATGAGCCGGAGAGCTTACCGATTTGTTCTTGTCGTCCGGGAGGTGAGCCTCGTTCTTGCCTTTGCCCATCAGCCAGCCGAACCACGTCGCCCCGCTCTAAGAGCAAAGACATTTCAAATGTCTATATATAGATTTGTCAATATATAAAATGAGATGAGCGAGAACAGCAACCAAAGACGGCAAATGGGAAGAGATTCAGAAGGTCTTCTGTTACTTAAGTTGCTCAGATATATTACAGATAGATAGGAAGACAGACAGATGGATATGTTATTTATAGATAGACTAGCTGTATCCTGCCACGCGTTGCTGTGGCCCATTGTGGAGAAATGGGAAAGAAAGAAAAGAGGAAGAGCTGGTTTCTAAGCTGTCGATACACAACGGAAGTGGCAAAGTGTCCACCTAATACCGGCCCATTTCAGTCTCCTCGAGGCCAAAGGGTTCTATAGATGTGTGGAAGGGCCCTGGGTTACCTGACTCCACACTGCCATATAACCCAGTTCAAATATTTTATATAGGTATTGTTGTCATTATAGACATATAGATATTATTATAGGCATTTAGATATTATTATTATAGATACAAATATTATTATTAAAGCCATATAGGTATTAGTATTATAGATGTTATTTATTTATGAATTTCATCTCAAAGGCATTGTATAAATTAGTATAAAACTGAGTAAAAATAGAAGGAGCAGAGGGCTCAATATCTTTTGAGCAAAAACAGGCAACAGATGTATGGATATTATTAGAGACCTATAGATATTATTAGACATATAGATGTGATTATTTTTATTGTTATTTTTATAGAAATTATATAGCTATTATTATTATAGATGTATAAAAGGTAAAGGTAGTCCCCTGACATTAAGTCCAGTCATGTCCGACTCTGGGGTGTGGTGCTCATCTCCATTTCTAAGCCGAAGAGCCAGCGTTGTCCGTAGACACCTCCAAGGTCATGTGGCCGGCATGACTGCATGGAGCGCCCTTACCTTCCTGCCGGAGCGGTACCTATTGATCTACTCACATTTGCATGTTTTCGAACTGCTAGGTTAGCAGAAGCTAGGGCTGGCAGCGGAAGCTCACGCCGCTCCCCGGAATCGAACCTGCGACCTTTCGATCAACAAGCTTAGCAGCTCAGTGCTTTAACCCACTGCGCCACCGGGATGTATAGATATTATTATACTTTATATAGATATTATTATAATAGACATAGATATTATAGGCATATAGGTATTATTGTTATAAATGTACAGATATTTTTGACAGACAGATATTATAATTATAGACATATGGATATTATTATAGACCTGTAGATATTATTATAGGCATATAGACATTATTACAGACACATAGATATTATGATAGAAATGTAGTTATTATTGTTAAAGACATATAGATATCATAGACATATATATTATTAGGGATTGATAGATATTATATTTATAATATTGTAATGTAATGCAATATAATACTACTAATAATATGATATTATAATTATATATTTATATTACATGTAATATTACTAATAATATTACAGTATAATTGATATAGTGCAATATAGCAATATTTAAAACTGATATTGTACTATGTTAATAATATATTGTATGTATATATATCTTGTAAGCCGCTCTGAGTCCCCTTCGGGGTGAGAAGGGCGGCATATAAATGTCGCAAATAAATAAATAAATAAATAAATTATTATGATGGATATATAGATATTATTATTATTATTGTACATATATTATAGCCCAGGGTTGCTATAAATTAAAAATGTATGGCCATCTTTTGGGAGTGTTTTGATTCTGCCTTCCTGGACAGCCTTTGCTAACTCACAGAGCGTGCCTTCTCCACACTCGCATGTCGTGGATTCAACTTTGTAGCCCCATTTCTTAAGATTGGCTCTGCATCTCGTGGTGCCAGAGCGCAGTCTGTTCAGCGCCTTCCAAGTCGCCCAGTCTTCTGTGTGCCCAGGGGAGTCTCTCATCTGGTATCACCCACGGATTGAGGTGCTGGGTTTGAGCCTGCCACTTTTGAACTCTCGCTTGCTGAGGTGTTCCAGCGAGTGTCTCTGTAGATCTTAGAAAACTATTTCTTGATTTAAGTCATTGACGTGCTGGCTGATGCCCAAACAAGGGATGAGCTGGAGATGTCTCTGCCTTGGTCCTTTCACTATTGGCTGTTACTTCCCAGCTTGCCTTGAATTTGCCTTGAGTCTTGCAAACGCAAGGCAAGATAGATAGATAAACAGATATACAGAGAAATAGAAATGTCTTGCAAAGTCAAGGCAAGATTTATTTATTTATTTACGACATTTGTAGCCCACCTTTCTCAGCCTTACGGTGACTCAAGGCGGCTTAAGATAGATAGATAGATAGATAGATAGATAGATAGATAGATAGACAGACAGATAGATAGACAGACAGACAGAAACGTCTTGCAAAGTCAAGGGAAGATAGATAGATAGATTAAAAAGTCTTGCAGAGTCAAGGCAATGCAGAGAGATAGATTACATATGAGATAGATATAAAAGATTCTATTAGAACAGAGATAGATGGTTGATCAGGTATGGGAAAACCCAGGACTGGGGGGCTGGATGCCGAACCTGTGATACGTGGACAGACTAGATTAGGTATGAGATAGAATGGATTGATTCGATATGAGATAGGTAGGATGGATAAAATAGATTAGATTAGAAAGGTAGATAGATAAGATAGATTAGATATGAGACAGACAGATATTTAGGCTTCATAACTGACATGGCGAGTTGGGATGTTTAAATGCAAAAATTAATTAAAAAGTATGATTCTGCACCAAAAGCAAAGGGTCTGCAGGTCACTCCGTCCTACCTTGCGTGGCGCAGGCTCCTTCTTGGCCTCCTTGGTGGGTCCCTTCCCTTCCGGGGCGGAGGGCGCGGGTGGAGAGGGTTGCCGGGCGGCCGAGGAGCGCCTCTCGCGCCCCACTGAATGCACCGACGACTCCGAGGTGGTCCGGGATCGCGGCCCAAAGCCCTGGCGGAGGGCAAGAAAGCAGAGTCAACACCGGTGCCTGAGGCCCCGGGAAGGAGGAAGAGAGGAGGACAGGGTGCGGAGAACGGAGATACGAGGAGTGAAGGAGAAAAAGAAGAGAGCGATGTGCAGAAAGTCAAAGGAGAGAGGGGTGAGAACGCGCCTCCTTGGGGGCATACCATGTGGGCTGAAGACTGGGAGGTCGTTCTGGATCGTCGTCCCGGGCCCTGGATAGATACAAAGCCAGCACATAAACAAGCAGCTAAGCCAGCCATCTCTCTCTCTCTCAATCTCTCTCTCAATCTCTCTCTCTCTAATACAGTGTTTCACAGCCTTCCCAATGCCACGACCCCTTAAGACAGTTCCTCAAGTCGTGGTGACCCCCAACCATATCGTTATTTTCGTTGCAACTTCATAACTGCCATTTTGCTCCTGTTATGAATCGTTATGTAAATACCTGATATGCAGGTTGTATTTTCATTCACTGGACCACATTTGGCGCAAATACCTGATATGCCCAAATCTGAATACTAGTGGAATTGGAGGGGATTGATTTTGTCATTTGGGAGTTGTCGTTCCTGGGATGTAAAGTTCACCTACAATCAAAAAGCATTCTGAACTCCAACGATGGAACTGAAGCAAATTTGGCACACAGAACTCCCACGACGAACAGAAAATACAAGAAGTGTTTGGTGGGCATGGACCTTGAGTTTTGGAGTTGTAGTTCACCTACATCCAGAGAGCACTGTGGACTCAAACAATGATGGATCTGGACCAAACTTAGCATGAATACTCCATATGCCCAAATATGAACACTGGTGGAATTTGGGGAAAACAGACCTTGGTCTTTGAGAGTCGTAGTTGCTGGGATTTACTGTTCAAAGAGCATTCTGAACCCCAACAACAATAGAATTGGGTCAAACTTCCCACAGAGAACCCCTATGACCAACATAATTATTTGTATATTATAAATATAAAAATAATTATAATACCGTAAATACTGTTTTCTGATGGTCTTTGGTGACTCCTCTGACACCTCCTCACAGGCCCTCAGGTTGAGAAACGCTTCTCTAACGTATCTCTCTAATCTTTCTATCTTGATATTGAGATGTATCTATCTATTATCTCCCCTCTCTCTAATCTTTCTATTTTGATATTGATTTGTCTATCTAATATATCTATCTAATCTTATCTTGATTTGACTTTATTTATTTATTTACATTATTTCTATCCTGCCCATATCAGCCCAAAGGCGACTCAGGGCGGCATTTCAAAGATATTGATATCTATCTATCTATCTATCTATCTATCTATCTATCTATCTATCTATCTATCTATCACGTATCTATCTAATCTTTCTATCTAGCCTGAGTTTACAAGACATTGATATCATGTCTGTCTGTCTGTCTGTCTGTCTGTCTGTCTGTCTGTCTGTCTGTCTGTCTATCTATCTATCTATCTATCTATCTATCTATCTATCTGATTTTTTGTCTAGTTATCCTATCTATCTATCTATCTATCTATCTATCTATCTATCTATCTATCTATCTATCTATCTATCTATCTGATTTTTGTCTAGTTATCCTATCTATCTATCTATCTATCTATCTATCTATCTATCTATCTATCTATCTAGCCACCCATTGTTCCTCCAGATTTATAAGGCACTCCTGAATAACTATTTCCTCTCTCTCTTACCTATCAATTATCTATCTATTTATCTATCTATCTTTTAATTTCATTTTCCCAGATTTATAAGCCACTCCTAGATATCTATCTGTCTGTCTATCTGTCTGTCTATCTTGAATTTTATTCTTCCAGACTTATAAGTCACTCCTAGATATCTGTTATCTATCTATCTGTCTGTCTGTCTGTCTAAACTTACAAGGCACTTCTGAATATTTATCCTCTCTCTTCCTCTCCTATCTATCTATCTATCTATCTATCTATCTATCTATCTATCTATCTATCTATCCATCCATCCATCCATCCATCCATCCATCCATCCATCCATCCATCCATCCATCCTCTATCTATCATCCCTCTTTTTTGTCATCTATCTATCTATCTATCTATCTATCTATCTATCTATCTATCTATCTATCATCCCTCTTTTTGTCATCTATCTATCTATCTATCTATCTATCTATCTATCTATCTATCTATCTATCTATCTGATCCCACATCTGAACCATAATTCAGACATAACTACCTATTATCCCTCTCTCTTTTGTATCTATCTATCTATCTATCTATCTATCTATCTATCTATCTATCTATCTAATCTATCTATCTAATCTTTCTCTCTCACCTAACTTTGGAAGACATTGATATCTTATCTATCTATCTATCTATCTATCTATCTATCTATCTATCTATCTAGCCTAACTTTGCAAGACATTGATACCTGGACTTGAGCCTTACAGTCATAACCAACACTTTTAATTGTTCCCAGAAACAGTCATGAAATTCTCCAACTTATGTGCGTTCAAACCATTTTTGGCTTTGGCACAGAAGGGAAAAAAAAGATGTATTACATCCATTTAAAAAAATGCATTACAACAATTTAAAAGATGTATTACATCCATTTAAAAGATGCATTACAACAATTTAGAAGATGCATTACATCCATTTCCTGCTCCTAGGGCCAAAGAAAAGGGACCTCAGCCATGCAATGTGCTTGGCTTTTTGGATCGCATTTCAACTTGCTCGCACAACACCAAAACAAAGGTAGGAAACAAGGGTCGGATACCATGCTTGCCATCTTGCCATAGAAGTCGTCTTCCCTGGGTTCTGGGGGCGGCTTCCAACTGGGAGACTCCCGAGGGGCCGCCTGCAGCGCTGGGGGGGGCACAAAAGAAGCATTCTGGGTACAGGTTCGAAACGAAGGAGTCTAAACACAGCTTCTTCCCACCTTAATCTCAGTTTCTCCCTCTATACATTTCTTTCAATGACTTATTTCAACAGTTAACATACTGCTGTGGCCTTGTTATACCCTGCCACGAGCCACAAGGAGAGACAGGTAATTATTAATAATGATAATATAGTTCTGGGGATACTGAACGTAACAACAACAACAACAACAACAACAATAATAATAATATGGATCTGGGGATAATGGGTGTAATAATAATAATAACCATATTAAAATAGATCTGGGGATACTGGGTGTAGTAGTAGTAGTAGTAGTAGTAAGGAGAGATAGTAATTAATAATAATGATAGTAAAGATCTGGGGATACTGAACATAACAACAACAATAATATGGATATGGGGATAATGGGTGTAATAATCTATATAAATAAAAATGTCATGTTCGTTTGTGGGATTAACAGAACTCAAAAACCACTGGGGGAATTGACACCAAATTTGGACACAAGACACCTAACGAGTGACCATCACCCATAAAAACACAACAGAAGGGATTTCAAAAGTCCAAAAAATAAACATATATTACAGCACATGCTCAAAATGATTTTGTCATTTGGGAGTTATAGTTTCTGGGATTTATAGTTCACCTACAATCAAAGAGCATTCTGAACTCCACCAACAATGGAATTGAACCAAACTTGGCACACAGAACTCCCATGACCAACAGAAAATACTGGAAAGGTTTGGTGGGAGGTCCTTTGGTTTTGGAGTTGTAGTTCACCTACATCCAGAGATCACTGTGGACTCAAACAATGATGGGTCTGGACCAAATTCTACACGAAGACTCAATATGCCCAAATGTTGGGCATATTGGGGAAAATAGAATCTTGACATTTGGGAGTTGTAGTTGCTGGGATTTATAGTTCACCTACAATCACAGAGCACTCTGAACCCCACCAACGATAGAATTGGGCCAAACACAGAACCCCCATGTGGGCCACAGCAACGTGTGGCAGGGGACGGCTAGTAATAATCATAATAATATGGATCTGGGTGTAATAATAATAATAATAATAATAATATAGATTTGGAGATAGTTGGTGTAATAATAACAATATGCATGTGGGGATGGTGGATGTAATAATAATAACAATAAGAGTAATAATAATATGCATCTGGGGATAATGTATATACTCGAATATGAGCCGGCCCAAATATAAGTTAAGGCACGTAATTTTACCACCAAAAACTGGGAAAATGTATTGACTCAAGTATAAGCCGAGGGTGGGAAATGCAGCAGCTACTGGTCAACTGCAAAACAAAAATAGATACTACTACTACTACTTCTTCTTCTTCTTCTTCTTCTTCTTATTATTATTATTATTATTATTATTATTATAAGATGACATTAATTGAGGCATCAGGAGGTTGCATTTTTTTGAATATTTACATAAAACTCTAAGATAAGACAGTCCAACTGATTAAATTATTATTCTAACCTTCTTCAATGTAAATGTGCTTACGTATCTTTCCAATAATAATAAAGAGAGTAAAATAATAAATGTAATAATAGAGAAAAATAATAAATGTAATCATAACAATAGAGTGAAATAATAAATGTAATAAAAATAAAAATAATACAGTAAAATAATGTAAACGTAATAATAATAACAATAATAATAAATAGAGTCAAATAATAAATGTAATAAAATAATTATAATAACAAGGTAAAACAATAAATAACTTTGACTTGAGTATAAGCTGAGGGTTTTTTTTTTCAGCCTAAAAAAGTGCTGAAAAACTTGGCTTCTACTTGAGTATATACGGTAGATTGTATAATAATAATAATAATAATAATAATAATAATAATAATATGGATCTGGGGATAGTGAATGTAATGATGATGATGATGATGATCTGGGAAAGTAATAATTATTGCACTCCAGAAAAGGTAGAGAACCACTGATCAAAACCATGTAAGGCAAAGTCCTATACAGGAGGGGAATGGGATGAAATAAAACTACTGGAATGTTGTGTGGTTTCTGGGCTGCATAGCTGTGTTCTGGCAGCATTTTTTCCTGATGTTCGCCCGCATCTGTGGCTGGCGTCTTCAGAGGATACAGCCTGGAACCATACAATATCCAGTGATTCCAGCTGTGAAAGCCTTCGACAATACATTGAACTATTATTATTATTATTAGTAGTAGTATTATTACATATATCTATCTGAACGCATCTCTCCCTATGAACCTTCCAGGAAGTTGAGATCGTCTGAGGAGGCCCTGCTCTCGATCCCACCTGCTTCACAGGCATGTCTGGAGGGGATGAGAGTCAGGGCCTTCTCAGTGGTGGCTCCTCAGCTAGGGATATTAGATCGGCCCCCTCCCTCCTGACCTTTTGAAAAAGAATGAAAACGTGGCTCTTTGAGCAAGCATTTGGAACTTCAGCATGACCAGATAAACTCAAATTGGAATATGAAGTCGGAACGGCCAAGATGATGGAACGGTTGAGGATTTGAACAAGAAGACATAGTTTTTATAATTTTTATTGTTATTGCTTTTACGGTTTTTAAATGTATTATAATGTGGGGTTTTTTTTGCTTTTAATTTTGTAATTGTGCCGATTTATACGCCGGCCTGGGTCGCCTTTGGGCTGATACGGGCGGGATAAAAGTGAGGTCAATAAATATTATTATTATTATTGATCCAATCTGTACCTGTTTCCTGGCGGAGTGGCTCTTGAGGCTGGAGCTCATGGGGTTGAGGAGGAAGGCTGGCTGGAGGCCCCATCATCCCTGAGGAAACGGGGCTCGGGTCCATTGCGTAGGAGCCCACAAAGCCAGGCCCCGGTCCCACGTTGGAAGGGGCCACCGAGTAGAAGGGAACGGCGTTGGGCACCTCTTGCTGGGAAGACAGACCCATGGTGGTGGCAGCGGCGCTCTCCAGAATGGTTTGAGGAGCTTGAGAGGAGATGGAAACATATGAGTCAACCCTCCGTGCTCATTAGAGACATAAGAGCCTCCAAGAAAGGTGAAATAAACCACAAATTGGATAATTTTTTTAGAACTTCCTAAGTCTTCTTAGCACAACTCTATGGTCAACTTTGGGCAGGAAAAGTGAAGTATAAATAAATGTAATAATAACAACAACAACAACTTTTGCCGGACGATGTGCTGGAGGACTTAAGCACACTGGGACTGTGGTGCAGCTGGTTGGGAGTCAGATGCATTAACATCACTACTGACCAAAAGGTCATGAGATCAAAGCCAGCCCAAGTCGGAGTGAGCTTCCGACCAATTTGTGTCGATCTTTGCAATCTGAAAGACAGTTGCATCTGTCAAGGAGGAAATTTAGGTACCGCTTATGCGGGGAGGCTAATTTACGACGCCATAAAAATCTCCAGCAAGCATGCAAAGAATGAGGAAGTACTTCATCAGTGTCACAAATGGACGCTGAAGCGACAGCTCCTCTGGTGGCCAGAATACCCTCATGAAAAAGCTGGAATGTTAAATAGCCTCTATGGCATTAAATGTTTGCCATGTATATATACATTGTAATCTGCCTTGAGTCCCTTGCGGGGTGAGAAGGGCGGAATATAAATAACCACCTCTACACAGCCATATAATCCAGTTTCTGAATCCAGACTATCTGCTTTGAAAGAGGTTATTTTACGGCAGTGTAGACTCATCTTATTTTGTTGTGATGTAATTTTTCTGTTGTTTTGTATCTAACTTTTCTGTATTTTTAATTTTTTTATATATTTTTGTATTATTTGCTTGGCCTCATGTTAGCTGCCCCAAGTACCCATTGAGGAGATGGTGGTGGGGTATAAATAAAGATGATGATTATTATTATTATCATCATCATCATCATCTCATCCCATTCAAAGCAGATAATCTGGATTCGGAAACTAGATTATATGGCAGTGTAAATCCAGTCTCAGGTGTGCATCCTTTCACAGCAAGGTAAATTAGTTTTACTACCAAATTGGAGGTTAAATCAACGCTTTATAAGGGATTTATACAATACTGCAATATAAATATTGCATCTATATAAATAAAAATGTAATGTTAGTTTGTGGGATTAACATAACTCAAAAACCACTCATAAAAATACCCCATTAAATTATTATTAATAATGATAATTAGAAATCCAGCACTGCAAAGATAGGCTATTGTTCCTGACCATGTGCAGAGGGTCATAGAAATATAATAATAACATAGAATAATAGAATAATAAATGTATAATAATATAAATAATACATTAATAATAATAATAGAATCTATATAAATAACATAATTATTTATTAACATAATTCACAAAACACTGGACGAATTGACACCAAATTTGGACACAAGACACCTATCAGGCCAACAAGTGACCATCACTCATAAAAACACTGAAAAACAGAGCAGAAGGGACTTTAAAAGCAATGAAAAATACATTACAACGTATCCGCAAAACCACATATAGATATACAAACACACACATATATACACAAACATACATATATATATACACATATACACACACACACACATATATATACACACAGACACACACATATATATTCACACAGACACACACATACACATATATACACACCCAAAAACATATATATACACAGACTGGGCCACAGCAATGCATGGCAGGGGACGGCTAGTTATCTATATAAATAAAAATGTAATGTTCGTTTGTGGGATTAACATAACTCAAAAACCATTGGGCGAATTGACACCAAATTTGGACACAACACAGACACCCATCAGGCCAACGAGTGACTATCACTCATAAAACACTGGAAAACACAGTGGAAGAGACTTTAAAAGCCAAAAAAATATAAAATACATTACAACGCATGCGCATAACCCTGTAAATACACATATACACAAATATATACACATTAGGCCTGGTCAATCCATGGTTCTAAATGGTTCTAAAGTGCTTACAACACTAAAGTTCTGGTGGTGAAAACTTCAGAACTCTAACAAAACTCTCAAAATTTCATTATAAATGGCAGTTCCTAATTGGTTCTATCATAAAAACCACCAATAATGAAATAATAATTAAATTTTGAGAGTATTGTTAGAGTTCTGAAATTTTCACCACCAGAACTTTAGTTTTGTAAGTACTTTAGAATCATTTAGATCCATGGATTGCCCAGGCCTATCACACACATAAATATATCTATATACACACACAAAACACATATACACAGACTGGGCTACAGCAACGCGTGGCAGGGGACAGCTAGTATTTTATATATTACTACATTACATATTATATTATTTATATAATATAATATAATTATATTATTTATATTATATATTATATAATTATATTATATTATCCAATGGTAAGGCCTGGAATATATATATATAGGAACATAATAAATATTACACATATAACATAGTATTCAAACTATATAGCAAAAAGACATTAATTAAAGATTTCTGAGACTTTTTAATAGGATAATCTTGCTAGGGCTTATTTTCCGTTGAGGTCTTATTTTCAGAGAAACAGAACATGTGAGTTGGGCCCTCGTTTTGATGCTGAAAAATACTCACCTGAGGGCATCAGCTGGACCCCCGGTGTGGGTTGTGTTGAGCCTGGGAGCAAGGAGGCGAGGAGGGGATTCTCAGGACCAGGATTCATCTCCTGGGCGGCTCCTATGCCTTCGTTTTGAGAGACATGGTCCATTTCCGAGCTGGGTGTGCTGCAGGCGTACTGCTGAGGGGTGGCTCTCCCGGCACTGTACGTTAGGCAGCCTTCCTGGAAAGAGGAGAGGCACAAAGCCATTGGTCATTCGTGGCCATTCGTGGCCTGATGGGCCCAAACATGCCCTCTTCCCAAGCCTCTGGACTCCCAACTTCAAAACAGAGACAAATGGGATTTTTTTGCGAATTAGGAGAATGTTATTAAATGCAGAAGTGTGGTTATTTATCTACTGTATATATTTGAGTAGAAGCCTAGTATTTCAGCTCCCTTTTTAGGCTGAAAAAGCTCCCCTCAGCTTACACTTGAGTCAAGGTTATTTATTATTTTACTCTATTATTAGTATTATTTCATTAAATTTATTATTTTACTCTATTTATTAATGTTATTATTACATTTACATTATTTTACCCTATTATTGTTCTTATTACATTTATTATTTTACTCTATTTATTATTATTTTTACATTTATTTTTTATATTTATTGTTTTATTACATGTATTATTTTACTCTATTTATTATTGTTTTTATGAAATTTATTATTTTGCTCTATTTAATAATATTATTATTACATTTACATTATTTTACTCTATTGTTTTTATGACATTTATTATTTTATTCTATTATTATGATTACATTTATTTTTTTATTTATTGTTTTATTTCATTTATTATTTTACTCTACTTATTATTGTTTTTATTACATTTATTATTTTACTCTATTAATATAATTATTACATTTACATTATTTTACTCTATTATTATTTTTATTTCATTTAATATTTTACTCTATTATTGTTTTTATGACATTTATTATTTTACTGTTATTATTATAATATTTATTTTTATATTTATTATTGCTTTATGACATTTATTATTTTACTCTATTTATTGTTTTTATGACATTTATTATTTTATTCTATTAAGTAATATTATTATTACATTTACATTATTTTACGCTATTATTTTTATGACATTTATTATTTTACTCTATTTATTACGGTTTTTATGTCATTTATTATTTTATTCTATTTAGTAATATTATTATTGCATTTACATTATTTTACTCTATTGTTTTTATTACATTTATTATTTTA